CTCTCTCTCTCTCTCTCTCTCTCTCTCTCTCTCTCTCTCTCTCTCGACCTCGGCGCGCCGCAGTTTCCCTTTTGCCGCCCCAACCGCTCTTTCGTTCTCTTTAACATCGCGCCAGTGGCGGCGACGAGCGCTTTGAACTTTTCCAATTTTCACGCGATGAGATTCAACTACGGAAGCGAATGAGACGTCAGTTGTAATGTATAGAAAACGATCCTTAGTGGCGTTTATGGTGACGATGTTACATTTCCCTTATGTGTTAACGAGGTGATCTCAAAGGAAAATGAGAGCAGATGTCCCGGGAATTTTAGATAACGCCAAAAAGCGCAAGCTTTTAATCTGATCATTTAAAAGGTACAGAGACTATGAATATATGTATATATGCGGAAATTAAAACATCGCGTAAAATGCGTATTGCCTCGACCGTGACACAACGTGCGGATACCAACGAGAACTTACCTACTATAACTATAGTAGTATGACCAGATATTTCCGGATGTAAAATGGGACAATTTTGTTGGGTGGGAGAGGAGTAATAAATGTTTGCAATAAATAAACACTTTCTTCGTGGCATTTTAAATACAAATTATTTGTATTTTACTACATTTTCTATGCACGTCCGATTAATAATTCGTTTCCACCAGTAGATTATTCTCGATTCAACTTACTCTTCATCTTTTCTAATTCTTAAAATTAAAAAAAGATGAAGAATAAGTTGACCCGAGATTAAAATTAACTTATCAGTAGAGAAATGGTAACACTCTCGAAAATATAATAGTATGCAAACATATCTGACCAGAGCCCAGTTTCATCAATGTAAAATGAATTCTAATCTCGATTTAATGTATTTATTTTTTTTTTTTATGAATTAAAGGCACCGCCAATGTTTTAATTGTGAATTTTGATAGATAAATTCAAATTTATAAAAAAAAAAAATAAGTAATATAAATCTAACTTTTATGACGGCAAAAATTTGTTACAGTTTTGACAAGTATAGAACTTTTTCCGATTTTTATATAATCCGGAACAAATTTGTTCTATTTTACGAAGGCCGCTATTATTGACGGAATAGTTAAAATTCATATTGCCGGCAGAAGGTTAATACAATCGATGCGAACGTGCACCAGTGATTAATGATCAATTCAACGTTTAATTTCAGAATGCCGACCGCTGAGCGACATGATCACACCGTCCATGTAGCCCAGGAGAAGTTATCCCAGTTCGACACGTAGGTAAGCAGCACGATAAACTGGCTCCAGCGACCCAGGCTCGGCGACTTCAAATTCAATTGCCGGCCTGCCACTTAACATGCCACGGGCAACGAACCGCAAATTCTTGCGCCGCGCGGCGCAAATGCGGTAATTCCATTAAGAACGTTCGTTAAGCACGCGGCACGAAAGAAAGATTTCCCGAGAGTACTTAATACTGTAACGAGTTTGCCGTAGCGGCATGCTGTTGACGACGTGAGCGTTTCCCGTGAAATACTACGCGTGGAAGAGAGGATGCACGGTGACGAAATTTCGGAATTTCAGTTTTTCGAAAATTCGTATTCTTCTGTCGTGGATACGCACGCGAGAAGAAGAATCCTCTGTTTACGTGCGGCATTGTACGTTGACAATTGTTAAAATGTAATTGAATGTGTGCATCATAAATAAGCTCGTTGCACTTTGATCTCCGCTCTGATGAACTCTAATCTAGGAGATGACGATACACATGAAAGTGGACCATCGAGCGCTCGCTCGCTTATCCACCCTGCGGTAAGCTTCTCACGGTCCCAGATTTACATTTCGGGGACACGCATATACGCTTTTCGCAATTGAAATTCAATTTATTAGGGGTTTTGCGAGCGGACCGCGGTTAACTTTGCGCGGATGCGCGGCTAGAAGCGAAAAGGACGAATAAATCCGCGCGTGGTTTTACTCTCGGTGATTGACTCGATTGCCGGTGCTTCCGGTTTATCTATTGACGCATATATACAGGTAAATACGCGGACGAGATGCTGCCATTTAGCCGAGCCAATTAATTAACACGCGCACTGTTGCCCCCTTTTTCATTTCGATACGTGTGCTCCCATTATACACGTTTCGTATATCGGATATCGAGGTCGAAAATGTAGAACATTATCTGGTAGTCGAAGTTCATACCTCAACCACTGCTTTTGTATTCTCGGGTTATGAACGAATGCTGGTTTTATAACGAGATATCGGAAATACGAGTATAATACAGTCTTTATTTGCTTCTTTATCTCGTTTCGTTTAGGATCGTAATTTTTATGAAGCAATTGCATTAATATAAATCTCGTATATAAAATATAACTAAATTTTGATCGGACGAATTACATCTTTATACGCCATATATATGTTTGTATAAATTTCCGACATAAAAAAAAGTTGCGGATTAGTTAATGTGATTAAATATGCCGGTAACACGCAATAATAATTGTACACTAATTGTGATTTAATAGTATGTATAGTAATTATATAATATACGCGGCAAATGTAATTAATTTGAAATAGCGCTATCGACTCTACGGTCCAGTAATCACGAAAATCGAGATTAGTTGAAATGACATACGGATTATCTCTCTCGCAAAGTAACTCTCAATTCATTATTGTGTATTTAATATCTCACGTTTAATACGCATTGACGAACTATTGTGCGGCACATCTATTCGACATCTAATTTTCATGAAATTTCCATTGTTATAATCACTACGTGATTCATAACTAAACACTTCGCTGATATCTGATGAGAATATTATGCGCGTATAAAATAATCAGGGCGGAGGAATAACAGAAAAATTTTCAATTAGGTAGGCGATTTTAATGATTCAAAATTACCGAGAGAAAGAGAGAAAAAGACAAAAGGGAGGAAAAGACAAAAGAAAGGAGAGTAAGTATAGAAATCGTTAAATGAACGAACGCACGCACCGCTTGCTGTAATAATTTGCTACGGGCGTAAGGCCATATGCATTTCAATGCCAATATTAACTGATTTTAACCCTCCGGAGTTAATGCTAAAATTAGTAACATAGTTACTGATGCTGGCTACGAGATCCATTTAATTTATATTAATTAACACTAGAGTGCTATACGGATATATAAATTTTGCGTATAGCGAGATCATTGAGCACTAATCTATGCTTTCAATGGTATTACGAGATCCATCCTCTATACTAAAAAATAGAACAAGCGGAGACTATCTTTTAAAAATTTTATCCGTTTTTTTAAATATATTAGTTTTGATCTAATAGTAAGTATTATAACGGAGAGTATAAATGATTTCAATTTTCAAACACTTTTGTATTCCTGTTTTGTGTTATTATTTTATTTAAATGTATGAAATACACACACACATACACAACACACACACACACACACACACACACAATTGGATTGAGCTATATAATTTAAAGGTTAAATTTAATGTTGTGCTTATTTTGTCTTTCCTTTTAAGTTGATAATTAGATTATTCGTGTTTATAAAAATTCAGATTATAAGTATTTCGTCATTAAAAATGTAAAATGTGTGAAACACTTGTGTTCTATTTATTAAAAGTGGCTTATTTTCATGTACATATTTTTTACATATTGGTAGAAACGTACAATATCACAATAATCTTCTATGGTTTAAAAAAAGACATAAACTAATTTCAAGGAACTAAAATGACATAATTCGTATAGAAAAGAATAAATATTAAGTATATATTTTAATAAAAATAATCCAAATTTAGAGATATAATAATATAACATAAAGAAAATTGTATTGTTTGACACTTCTTGACAAATAAATTTATAATTGAATGGATCCAGTAGCTCTGGAGAGTTGAATCTGGCGAAATTCAATGTACGCGTTTCGCCTGTGTCGAAATGGATCTGATGTCGCGTAAACATGATTAAACAGCGAGAATAACCGGCTCTCTCATGTGATTTCAATTATTCCCGGCGCCCGATTTCGGCGTTGCGCAATTAAGGGAGAAGGGCTACGGTATTGGGATCTTGAATCAAGACCACTCTAGGTCTGCACGATGCCAATTACGTCTCTCAATCGTCTTGACTGGAACGGTCGCTTTCTCCATTTACTTCGGCATGTAGGTGTGCCTACCTACCTATTGCCGTCGTCTACATCCCGGTCGATTTACGGTCGGACGAGAGAACGGGAGAGCGGTAGAGCGAAGGCACGCCGACCAGAATTTCATTTCGTTGGAGGTACATTCGGTATCCTTGGGGAGTCGTCTGTGCCCGCCCCGCAGCTTTTCCCCGCAGCTTTTCCCCGCAGCTTTTCCGGCGAATTTAAAGGATGTCCGTCATCTTGACGGATCTCACGCACCGTCCCTCGACGCCGTAAAAGTGGATTTAAAGGGATGTACGGCCGTCGCGGGGACACGACGGAAATGTAACCATATTGTATCGACACGACGGAGTTTCGTCGCGCCACTTGTCACGGTCGCTACTTCGGAGAGGATCTCTTCTTGTCGTGCTCTCGTGGAAGGTGCCGTAACTCTACGCGGCTCACTCGTTCCCCGGAATACCGCGGCTTTTCCTTTATCCTGCGCGAGATAACCGAGAAATTAGGTTGCCGAGAAATTACGGAGATGATACGAATGCATTTTTAAAGTCGATAAATGAAAATACTTCTCATGTTACCATGTACATCAATTATTTACATGCTTCCGATCGTATCGATAATTCAATTAACTTGAAATTGTAATATGAACATGGAAATAATAGGTATTTCATATTTTCAGACCGTTTTCAGATAATCCGGCAGTGGTATTAGTAACTCGGTTTATGTTCAAATACACAATTAAATTTCAAATTAATGGTTTGATATATTTTCTGTCGTTTGATTAATTTGAAATTTAACCTGTCCAGAAGTAAAAACATTTCGTTAAATTATTTAACTACAGTTAATTGAAATTATTCGAAATGCATAAAAGTATGTAATTTTTTTTTATTTTTTTATTTTTTAACAGACAGAGTCTTTCGAACATCACAGCGAAGCCCTAATGATTTTCCTGTGAGTTTGCTTTATTATCGTCGAATTTTTCTCTGTCTATATATCTACAATAAAAGGTAGATTTTTATCGCAATCCGGTCCGTTCCATATTATATTCGAACAGCATACGAACTTTGTAATGATCATATAACTCGTTAATGGGATGTTTGAGGAACGGGGGAAAGACGCGGATACTCTCGAAAATTCGTGGTTACATCGGACGATCCGCGGCTCCGCGTTGCGGTAATATCATGCGAAATTATGCGGAAAATCGGTCCATCGCTTCCTGTGTGATCGCTCGCGTTGACCTTAATATCCACGACGCCACCAAGGTGGAAAAGAGGCCGCTCTATCGCGGTTCGATGCTCGAACGGGCCGCCATCGACAATGGGAAGTGCATTGCCAATGGCGTAGCGCGGCGCGGCACGGCATGCGATCGAGGGTACCGCATGGACATGATATGTGCACAGCTGTGTGCCACCCCCGCGAGAATGTATGCGTCTTCGTGATCTGGCAGAATCGCACGGATCCAGCTTATATTGCATTTGCAACCGCGAAAGTTTCGGAGCGGGAGAGGAAGGGAAGGAAAACCGGTGGCTCGCGACACGATATATGTCCGCGAAGCGTTATGGTCCAGATAAGGCCATGTGGTTTTGCTCGCGTACCAGTGCAGCAGTCCACTAGTATAGCAGTAGGAATACCTACCTGCCTACCTACATGCTTTACCTGGTATGATTACCGAACGAAAAACGTGAAACGTGTCCGAGAAAGGATAGAACGTACGGTACGATTACTCATCTTGAAGAATACATAGAAGGGGGAATAAGGAGCTTTGAAAGGATCATGAGATGATTGACACGTGGGTAGAAGACGTGCATGTACTTCGGGTCCATTTTCAGGAAGTAATTTACAATAGCTGTCATGGATGATTGGATCTCTCGGTTAGTCGCACTGTGCGAGAAGTTTATGATAGAGAAAGCAAGAATAAATATAATAGAAATCATTCTATGCCATTTCAACCAGATTGGTCGCTTAATGTATAACGTAAAAACTACTGTACGCTATTGATTTAAAATGATTATTGCGATCAAACAAAAAATTTTTTAAAAATTTTAACTCGTAAAACGTATGTAAGTAAGCAATAACATTATCAAATTTTTAGAAATTATGAAACGGTTAACTTGATTAAAATAGCATGGAATGATCCTCTAACGTGATGAGAATGTAAATTGTTA